TCGACCTTGTAGACTTAAAGCATCATCCCCTTTCCGTTAATGACAGTCAGTCTCTATTCTTTCACTTATCTCTTCCACACTCATATTACATCGTTCATCATAAAATTCACATGAATGAAAGGTGACAATGTTTAATTTATCTATACAATGTTGTCATAAAAAATGAATATAGGAAATTTAAATGTATAAAATACTGTGTAATTAGCTATTAAACTACACTAAATGCCAAAGAAAAATCATTTTGAGAGGTTTAATTTTAGTATACACATAATTCACTAGGTGGCAGTAAAGGCCATACGGTATATGGAATGCTTACGCAACAAAAGCAAAACTTAGACATCATGCTCCGTCTTATATTCATGAAATATATTGCTAAAGTGTAAGAAAAAAACATGAATAACTACTGTACTTGCAAATATACGCAAAAGTTATGCAATGACTATATGGCGTTCAAATTTTCCATCTTTCTATAAAAGTTCTATAAGACCTCTAACAGTTTACAGTACTTATCCTTTCCAATTGTATCACTGCTTAAAAGTAAAAAAACGTGGATTTTTTGTTTCAAATCGACTTTTATTTGTATAGAGAACATGAGCTAGAATTAAACTATCAAAACATTCATAAAATGCGAAGGTATGAAACATTTGCGAGTTAATGACGTACAGAAACTAGGCCAAGAATGATGATACAAAAATATATAACAGAGAAACGCTTGTTTTGTGGAGGTGTATCGTCTCTTTACAAATTGAAATCAGGTACAGTTTGTGCAGTTGCACTAAATACGTTACAGTGAATCATGGTAATGACACCTATGCAGTCTGGATTCTAGCAACAACATAGAAGCGTGTTTACCCAGATGGCTTCTTTGGGAATACTTCATCCGAAATTTACTTTCTAAATTTGAGTTTTCTAGCAAACTTATTTGGGTGGTGTTTCTACGAAATTTTCTGATATTTAAGTAGTTACAACTTTTATTTTTTGGCATTGCTATCCATTCTCATATAACTTTTTTTTTAATGAATATTTATTGACTTTTATAGTTACGGACATATGACACTTTTATCCTCTGATAATGTAGAAATTGAGGAAGCTAAATTAGAAGGAATTTAATCCCTTAGAAATATTTAGTCACTTGTATTGTGTTTGGATTGTTGCCTGAGAGAATTTTACTGACGAACGAGTTCGGCCGGATCTGTGGCACATCTCTTACTATCTGATACATTGGCGCTACTAAAAAATATGAGAACGTCAACATCAATTTATTCTTTTAAGCCATGTCAATGACTTGATGTAAAAACTTACACCTGAGCGGCGTATTTAAACAAACAACATCAATTAAAAATCGTCGTGAGATAATCTATAGTGTGACTCGAATTTAAACTCAACAATTCATAAAATGCAAATTATCGATTTGTGAGTTGAGATATAACGTCTTTTCTCCCTTCGTAGCCGTTCTTATTTGGTGTGTAATCTATTAGCAATAGTATAAGATGAGTATATTTAATACTTTTTATGAAAAAGCATTGTCCTTCTTTCTCATCTGAGTGATCCCAGACAAGTTTTTTACTTCATCATTTCGCATTCTCACCTTTCCAAAGCTTAAACTACTTTTTATGCCATTAAAAAGCAATTCGCAATTATCGTTGTAGTACTTGCATCTTTAATATATTTAGAGTTTTAATTAAGGTTATTTACAAAGTTTCGAATTTCTCGGTTCATTGAACTTTTTGTCACCTTCTTTTTTTTATGAAAATCTGAAATTCAATTGTTGTTATCAAAATTTTGCTTTTAAAACGCGATAAATGTCTTTATGATCTTGATCGTAGTCACGGATTTATCTCCGCTTTAGCAATAAACGAGAAAGTAGAATACCAAGTGGGGCAGAACAATAGCCTGTTTACAAGTTCTAGGATAGAATCAGAAACGGTTGCTACAGAATACGCTCTACTGTTGCAGCCCCAAATCTATTTGCACCTTCTGTCAAAGATGTTTTTGACCTTTCGATAACAGACCTTTTTGAAAAATTCCGGACAAACTTGATCACGTGGTCGGTTGGGTTCAGATTTTCCACGAGGGCAAAACAGACTGCTTAGCCTCTTCGATTAATTATGTTTTATTATTACGAAAACGTTCAATAAGAAAATCATCTTGCAATTTCCGGGTGAAATAAAGTTAACAATGAAAAAATCGAAATAAAAAAAGTAAATAAAATAACAAATGTTATACCCCGAAGGTCCAAAAACAATGTACTGTTCTAATGGAAAGGTTGAGTGACCTGGCTATTCTGAAATCACGTTCTTGGTCGGTCAGCGACTCAAACTGACAATCTGGCAGGTTAATGCAATGTCGCAATATTTTACTACGTCCTTCATCGTCCCGTTGGCGGGTGGGCGATCGAACCGATCGAATGATCAACGCTGCAGCCCTATCAAATTGAAGTCATTAAAGCTTTGCTCTAATGGTGCATAAAAGTAGGCGGAAAACCATAAGTTTTGAATCGATTTACTTTCACCCACGCATATTTATTTAAAGAACAGGTAGCGGAAGAGAAATCCTTGTAAATCAGATAAAATTGCCACTCCTATGAGACATTTTAAAACATATTCTATCTGAAAGTTGATTATATCATCTTACTTTGCATAGGAGAACGGATAAACATTTTGTCTATTATGTAATATTGATCGTAAAGATGTTTAGAAAACCATCTAAAGAGAGGAGTTTAAAAGCTGCAATTATCGTGAAGAATAGAAAGTTTTTGAAGCGAACAGACAAACTGCCCGAAGCTATCCCTTATGTATCCCTCCGCAGATACCCTCTCCGGCATAGTAACTGTCAGGGGGGGATATTTCTGTGACAATCTAGACTGGAAGGTGAAAGGTCATTTAGTATCTGCGTTTGCAATCAAAACTTTCTATCACCTGTCATGTTGACAGCTACTTCAATTGAATGATTAAAATGGTTACACGATTAAATACAAATTCCATCATTATCTCAATAGTGAACAGCAAGTGTCACGAGTTTGAACATATGAATTTAATTATTAAATTTATTAAAAAATTTAAATAGAAAGCACTATCCGCTAGTAAATATGTCATTCTTCCTAAAATCAGAGATTTCTCCGGATTTTAAAGTAATTCAATTTATAAAAAACAGTATAAAAATACAATTTATAAATCTCTTCCCTAATAAAAACAAATGGAAGTAGAACGACGCCAATGTGCCGCCATCTATCGATATAAACAATAACAATAGCTTTGAGTGTTTCCGCAGTTCGATTACGTATATTCAACTACGTTAGTTCTTATTACAAACTCGACTGGTCAGGTAAGTAGCAAGTAGGACGGAGTGCACAATACCATAAAAGGAAGTTTTAACAACCAGGAGAATCCAGCTTTTCGTTTCATAAGCTATACGAACAATGAAAAGAGGTTAAAGTGCAAGGGTAGACTTCACACAACTCCGTTGGTTGGCTAGGTTTCGCTAGAACATTTTTTTATACCGAGGAGGGAGAAGAAAGGGGGCAGAGAACACACTGGGAGGTCCTCACACAAGTGATCTGATGAAGTTATTGAGTAAGTAATCGGCAGCTTTGTGTCGGTGTCTAGAAAGGAAGAAAGAAAGATGTAAAGTATAGAGCACGCTCATATTAGCGACTCCTCACTACGTTAACGTACGGGAACACATCTCTTGTTTGCACACACAAATCTAATCTCATTTAACAGAAACAGTGTAATAATTCCATAATATAAATAACGTTGCTACTGTCCTAAACCTATACAATAGAAAAAATAAGAAAAGAACGTAATAACTTGTAGGACTTATTAAATCTAATTTTCAGGTATATTAATAATCATTATATATAAATACAGTTTGAGCACAATTATTCTTCCTGTCTAAGAATATTAAAATAATTCTCATTTGAATAAAAACAAATTCTAAATACAGTTTTTAACTGTAGGTGTGTTAGATCGATTCCCAAATTTACATTACATAAACCTGTGCTAGACAAAACTAAATAGCGATGGAGTATTTGTGTAGATGCGCACCTTACACGAGCAACGGGAGTTATGGATAAATATGATAACATACGAATAGTGTTACATATCTGGTAATTGAATCCCTCTTCCGAATCGTTGCCGCTTAACCGGAATTAACTTTCCGAAACTTCGAATAGAGGTTACAGATCGTTGTAATGAGATTTCGTAAACACGAGGCCAATGAACTTGGTAAAACGGATCATATAGACGATTTATATGACGTCAGAATCTTAACTCTACAATTCAATAAAAATGCCAAAAATTCGCACGACGTCACCTTGGGGATAACGCGTGCAGCATTTGGTCCCATCCCAACCCGACTGACGCCCCCAAGGGTCAAGAGGTCAATCGGAGAGGCGCCCAGTGGACAAAACGGAATGCTAACGGAAAAATCAGGTAGCAATTGTTTTTTTTTTTTCTACCCAAACTAAATCAAGTGTAACCCATTATCTTTTAACTTTTATTACCCATAATTATAATCTCGTATAGAAGCTTAATTAATAACCCTAGAGGTGTTAAACGATTAAAGATCGATTTTATGTGCCAATTAACGAAGTGGAAATCGAAATTTCTCTCATCTCGGGTAAGGATCGGGAGTTAAGGAACGGATCAAGATTTCATGCTGGCGGAGAAGAAAATGAGTCGAAATGATCGATAGCATTCTGCTCTTAAAGTAACGAGTCTCGTTAATGCAAAGTATTCCGGAATCCTTGAACGAAGAGAGTCTCGCTTAAATCTGCGTGGATGATCGACGTGATCAATCGATCAGCTCTCAGCGTCCCACCTACCCTTACAAAACTACTCTCATCGCTTTCTTTTCTCCGTTGAAACTTACGAAAATGTTCACGAAACTTATAGAAACATTTTTTCTACAATCGTTTAAACACCATTTAACGCGTTCACACGTCAACACGTATACCGTGTTAGAGGCTAAACTAGCAGACGACTCGAGCACAAACTTACCGCGTTTACAGTCGCTGGTATGAGTAGGAACACGTATATTGTTAAAAACCTGTAAAGTAAAAAATATTTAAACAAAAATAAATAAAACATACTTTTTTTTCTGGAATTAATCTTTAAAGAAAAATTTTCTAAAAACGTCTTACCATATAGAAATAAATAGTCGATTTTGCGGGTGACCCTCCGTGCACTCCGGCATATTGGCCGCGTGCTTTTCTCTACCCTTATCCTTCACCTTTCATATATGTAGTACTTTTAATTTACTTTCAGTCCGCACTGTTCCAGTTAGAACGTGCTTGTCCCACTCACCGACTTGGTACCCGTCTTACGATCGCAAAACTTCTCTACCCGAAGCGCGCGGATTGACTTCTCTCCTCGTGAATGGGCGGAGTTGGTCACGTGACCCGAAATGAACTTGCCAGCTTGATTCGACTTTTACCTTTTCTTTAAATCGTTCAGGACGTATTTTTTGTTATTAAAAGGGAACGGTCCACCCGTACGTCTTCTTAACAATCCGGCGAGTGTATAATCACCACGGAGGGGTCGACATCACCGAAACGACCGAGTCTGGTGAAGTTAAAAATTCGTTATTCGTCGACATTTACGAGTTATTTAACGATTTCACGTTTACGTATCGGAAAATATACGGTTCGAACTTGAACAAATTGGTCTACGTGCTAGAAATTCGAGTGTGTTCGAGGAACTATATAGTTAAGCGGAAGGTTTGGACTATTGTGAATCGATGGTTAGAGCCGCAATGTGCGCCTAGTGCCCGGGCTGCTCAACATGCCTGTTAGTGTGCCTCAACTTCTGAGAGATGCTACAACCTGCGAATAGGAGCATGTAGGTGACACGAAACAAAAATATAACTGCTTAAAGCGGCATCCGTTCCTTCTCCGATTTTAAGATGACAGAAACTGTAAAATTTCATAAACTCGTAGCGGTGTCTGTGTTGATATTTGTTTATGTATCTGAAATAGAAGCAGCGGTAAGTTTTATAATGTTTTTATATATTCAAATGAACTTTTTGTAACTTTTTTCTTAATCGAAGAAAGTGTTTCATTTATTTTTATTGCTCGTGCTTACTCGCGTAGCCTTGCTACAGGGAAGCGAACTCTCTTGACTAGGCGCAACTAGTCGATCTTTTCGTGTTAAAAGGAGAAAGTGAACTTTTCAGGGTCGAGTGGATGTTGAAGTTTTTTTTTCTTCTCTTCGCGTTTCTTTTTTAGAATTTTAACACCTTTTTAGAGATTTTATTATTAGCGATTTAGGCTTTTTTAAATATTATATTATTATAAAACAAGTGTAATATATAATTTACGTATTAGGTCATATAACAATAGCTCTAGAAATTCAATTTTGACACCAATACTTTTTATGGTTTTAATAATTTAAATCCACACTTTCTGGTACTATTTGTGCTTGTGTGATGCAGACATTAAATATATTTTATTTTTCACGTTACGTATTATTCAAATTTTAAAAGGGAAGCAGTAAAACTTCGACTTATATCACTTTGAAAGGTATGAAAATTTCGGCAAGGTATCTTTTGAATCACCAGCCCGGTCAAAATTAGAACAAGTTAAAATACTGCCAGGAAGTAATTTCTTCAGTAAAGTGATTTTTTTCGTTCGGTATTTCTCACTTGTTTCTTTTCAACATTTTAAATATAAATTTATATCTGTAAATCTAAATGTATAACAACACCGGTTTACTGTTATAACTAGTGACAAATTATCCTACCTTTGCTTCACATTCCCAAGTTAAAGAAGCCAAAACGAAATTAATTCTATATTAAATCATTTAATAGCGGTGTATAACATTATGTGATAAGACAGGTTATAGTTTTACAGTGAAAATTTTTTACATAGATACATAAGACGTAACCAGAGATGTTAAGCTTTCTACAACGATAACACTATTAATTATAAAGTTATATATAACTATAATAACAAAATACTAGTTATAAACACCAGTATACACTAGCAAAAACTATTTTTGAAAAGAAAATACACTCGAAATCCCACCGACTCTACGTTAAAATCCAAGAGTTTTTATTTATACAAACATATATCAGAAACACAACATGTGTTGTGCTGGGCCTTTATTTACTACGGAATCCCCAGTATAGATTCCAACACAATATATATATCTATAAGGTGTGGAAATCTTCGTATTTAATATTTACTAGGGAGATTTGAACGTGAAGACGGACAATCTACATTGTACTTTCGCCGTCTACAAGGGCGATCCTTCATCAATATGAACACAAGAGATAGAAGCGTAGGAAATAAATCGTTAAATAGAAGCTAGCAGGCAATTTTACGGCTCAGAGGATTTTCATAGATCAATATGGTGAGAAGAAAGACCACAATCTTTAATACTTTATGATCCAGGCAGGCAACGCCCTGTAATTGTAATTACATCTGCAAAGGAATTGTTTGGCTCCTTACGAGTTACAAGTCGATGAAGATGATGATGATTTTTTCCCTTTCCCCCCCCCTGTGAGGGAAGTTTTTATGATGACAAAAATCACACAATGCATCAATTTACTCAGCAGTGATATATTGGATAATCGAAAATACTATAATTATCTTTTATCCATTACGAATTTTTCAAACGGAAATTGAATCTTTTAATCTTGTAAATCCTCCATTTTCTTCACTCGTTTATTGTTATTTATTTTTTAAAAATATTTTTAAAAGTTAAACGTTAAAAAATACGGTAATCCCCGCTTTTAGAGCTTAATTAGTCATAATAAAACAGGACAGAATGGATAAAACCAATGAACGCTGATACTTTGTCGCGGGTTCCAGCCTTATCAAAGGCCTGGCCACGTGGAGTTTTCCTCATTTTCACGTGTTTGATGCCAAACTAGGTGCTAGTTTTTTGTATATCACGGGTTCGCACCTCACCAACGGATTGACCACGTGCAGTTTTCCTCATTTTCACGTGTCTGATGCGAAAATAGGGGCAAGTTTCCTCAGTCCAATCTTAAGGTCGTTAAGCGAGCCGTCGTAAATCGAATTCTAATTTTCTATACGTTTAACGTCGTAAATTGAAGTTCTTTATGTACTTAGAATAAGAATTACATAACGTCACATCGAAATGTTCAATAAAACATAACAGGAAATTTATAACGAGCGGTCGAAAAGCGAGGTAGTGTGTTTATCGACACTACCTCGCTTTACGACCGCTCGTTTATACCGTATATTTTGTGTATATACTATCAGAAAATGCCGGCCCGATAAGGAAAAATATTTAAATATAATTTTTTTGAAATTAAATTAATGAAATTTTTATAAATTAAAGTTTATTTATTGCATAATTTGACATAAACATGCAAAGAGAAATATGTTAATTATTAAAATTAAGATATTGAAAATGCCCTTAGACATTACAACTTCATTAAGAAATTTATCAATTAAAGATTTAATGAAATTTTAATAAACAGAATGAACAATAACAAAATAAAATTGATTACAATAGATCTCCGCTTTACGGCCTCTCGTTTTACATTCCCTCGATCTTACGACCGTTCGTTTTATAGCCCCTCGCTTTAACGACGCGAATAATTTTCTATTACAACTGTACAAAATTGTATATTTACTCGCAATATTATTCGTTTGGATCATTTTGGTTTAATATTATATAAATGAAAGTCTTTTTTCAAGAATAGAATCTTACTTTATTACACTGAATCTATAGAAAAGTATGGTTCGCTTTACGACGGTTAGGTTAACGACGCTTTTAAAACTCAATTAAGTAGTAAAAGAAATGTCTATTGTATATTATTTAAGTGTATTTCTATATTTAAAGAATTTCTATCGTATTTTAAAACTAAAANAATTTAGTTAATTATCTAATTGTTTTGTATTTTAATGTACTGTAATTTATAATAGTTCATCAATTGGAATAAAACCTCATTTATCAAATTCAAGTTAAATAAATAACTTTATTTGCATAAGAAAGACCATAAAAAAATTTTTCAATTCTGCTAGTAAACAAATATATCAACATACACCCCAATAACTCAAACAGACACTTTAATATTCAGTAAATTTTTCAATTTCATAAAAATGAAAATTCTATCTAATATTTTGGATAAGTTAAAATACATATGAAATAAAATTGTTATAAATTAGTTATTTCTGTATGACTTATACTATTTATAACCAATCATTCACTATTTGAAGAATTACTTTTATCATGTTACTCCTATCTATAATAATATATTCAGTCTAAGCTTTTTCATAAGATATACCCTAACTATAAGGTACATTGCACCTATAGTATATGCCTTAGGCAGATTTGTCACAATTCAACTCTTTTTTTGCTCATCATAATTTCTGATATTAAAAAAAAAATTTTTTTTGGAAATATACATAATTGTATATCTAAACAATTTAAAGTTATTTCCCATTTTATTAAACAAAGAAATAACTATAAAAAATTTTTAGAAATAAATAAATAAAGTTAAGTTTTATTTACAACTATATAACTGTATTTGTGAATAATTATTAGACTATTATTAGCATAAAAGATAAACTGCAAAAATATTTTTGCAGTTTATCTTTTATGAACAGAAAAATATTCTGTAAACAAACTAATTCAATACATTTTTAACCCCTTAAACATTTTATATGAGTATTGAAAATTTTATGAATACAAAACTGTATATTTTAGGATAAACTTCCTAACAGATGTAAGGACACCCCTACATAATAGCTAAACACTACATAAAATCTATATTTAGTTTCAAGATAAAAATTTCAGCTCTTGTTAAAATATGCAAATAATTTATTATTGGGTAACAATTATAAAATATGCTTATATATAGTTATAAATAGTAAAATAGATAACAATTTTTACTTAGTATTATCTACTAAGTGAAATACACTCCAGATGAAACATTAGTCTGATTCCAAGGTCATTTCTTTGGTAATTTTATATTCAATAACAGTATCCACAAAATTTTATTCATTTCCCATAAAAAGTAATAGATTGCATCAATAAATACATAACTAAAGATTTACATTTTTTTAATTCATAGATACAATTGTGAGTGATATCATATATTAAACTACTTAACTTTCTATTTGGCACCATTCTTATATCAATAAAGAAATCTAGATATAAATTATAATGATACTGTATCCAGTTATGTTAAAGCCCACATTATTTTCTTTAGAGAAAAATGGCAAGAATGATTATATTATACAATGAAAGTGGCAATGAGTTAATTTAAAAATATTCTTGTAAATGAAAAGTAATCTGTTTTATCAGTCATTAAATAATCTATTACATTTGTAACCTTGACACACATTTGGTAATTGCATTCTTTTCTATTATACTATATATTTTTTATTTACTTTATTAATATGATTTTTTTAAAAATAACATGAACTATAGAGAAAAATAACATGTAACTTTTTCTGTAACACCTAATCAATTTTATTATAACTATTAAAGTACTTGTGATAATCATTTG